ATTTTTTTTAAACCGAGGTCGCAACCAGATGTACAGTACTACGACCAGCTAGCCCATCCTTGATTTAAAGAGTAAAAGTGAGGGAGAGAAGGAGATGAGTGCACAAGGATACATTAGAGCGCAAAGGAAGAATTAGCGGGTAGACGGAAAGTCTAGCTGCCTTCGTCTCTACCCACTGTCGCCCGCCAATTAAAGCGAACAATAGCTTTGTATGCTCCTCGCGCAGTGTCTAGCGTTCGGATGCCGGCGTTTGGCGTTCTAATGCTTTCGAACAGTGTGAAGTGACCAAGGCAGCTGCACTTTGCGTCTCCCCCTTAACCTTCCAATCAGGGTTCGACTCTCTGACGTCCCCCCTTGCGCTCTCGTCTGCTTTTCTGTGTTAGTTTATCTTTGTATACATACAAATACCGAGCAAACTTGGGTCCCTTAAATGGATATGTCCTCGATGTTTCTTGAGAGTGATGAGCAAAAATGAGTGAGAGTGTTTCTCTACGTGATGACCATGGACATGACGTTTCTCCTGATTCTCTGTACTAGTTGATTCAATGCACTTTGAAGAACGACGAACGTCAAATTTAATTTCCCAAGGAAGCACGTTCCTATGCTGTTGTCATAAATGCAAGGAGCACTAAAACACATAACCACAGAACGGTCTGCCTTCTAGCAGAGAAGTTGAAACTAATAATCCTGATTCACTAAACTGGATAAACAATTTAAAATGACGCTACAATTCACACTGTCGCATTGGATTTTAAAACTTGTCAGGCTGCACAAAGTCATTTAGAGGCTACTGCCAAAGACATAACCACGAACGTGGAAGACATGAACCCTGCATTTAAGCGAAGTAATTGCGCTGACATGCAAACGGCACTGCTAACGGCAACCCACCAAACCTTTTAAGAAGGCTCAGGAACTATTCGGAACGTATCTGAAGGGGCATTGAAATAACTTTCAGTATGCAGAAACTTGAAAAATGTGCAAGCATTTAGAAATATAATCATTTTTTTTCATAAATGCTGGGAAAGCTGAGAAGCACGTAATAAAGTCATACTTCAGAAATAATTTTTAAAAGTTAGATCACTTCTCTTGACTGAAAATTGCATCTCGCGGTGATCGTTGTAGTGGTCTTTTGAAAGCTATACAGGTGACCTCCTCTAGAAACCCTAGTTTCCTTTAGTTTAGTTTACTCCTCCAATACGCAGCAGGGAAGGAAAATCGGCCCAGCTAGTTCTGGACAAACAATGAAGGCAAAGAGGGCTCACGCTTTCTTGGAAGGGCACCTTTTGCTCCTTAACGTTCAATGCCAGGCCTATCTCATAACGTCTTGCGGCATATGATTGCGTAGGCGTCTGCCTCGCATAGCCCGAGAGCTGCGGTGATTTTTCTTTTTGTTTGGGTTGCCCATTTCTTCATATGTTCACGTGTGAAGTCGAGGCACGCGTTATGGCACATTGTTGAAGTGATATTGTTATGCAACCCGCAAACGTTTACGCCCAAGTAGAAGTCACGAGAAACACAATATAATTTTTCGTGGTAATACGGTACTTGCACGCTTGATGAGGCAACGAGTGTGTAATGTGATTGAAGCAATCACTTTTTTTGATGTTGGCATTGACGTCATTTTTTGTTGGCCACGGTATTACAAATATCTGCTGGCTTTTTAACTTTACTTTCTTCCAAAGTTTTTCTTTTTTTGCTGCGCATAGGATTTGACTGCAGTATGCAGCCTAATCTTTTCACATGCAGTCAATACCGAAGAACCGCGATTATATTGTTCATTCTTTGAGATCAGCCAGAACAGGCGATGAAGCTTTACTAGTCTAGAAAATGCAGTTTGGAAAAAATCTGAGCGCTGTTCTTTAGCTTGGAGGCGGCGAACACAACCATGTCTCCACTTTCAGGCGTGAAAGCGAAGCCTGTTCAGATGGAATGCCCCGTTGAGACACTATACCCACTTTGGGATGAAGGAAGGTATTTGTTTGAATGAGAAAAATTAATCGGTGATGCGACGTTCAAAACAGTCTGCGAGTACCTGAGCATCACTTGTTGAGTCGCGTTTAAGAAACCACAGTTACACTGCTCATGCATTATAAGAAAAACACGGTATGCTCTACAGACACGTTTAGAGAATGTTCTTTCTGAAACGTCTCAGGTAGGTTAGAGGCACCTTTGCTTTGCGCATATATATGCGTTGAGCACGTCTGAAGAAAGTTTTTGTTGACCAATGCGACATGAACAATGTGACACAATGTGAGACCAGGAATAAACACGCCTCAGTTAGTGTCTTCCAATTGTCTTTTGTAAGACGTATTAATTCACGCCGACATTAGAGAATTTGCTTGAAACACTAGTCGTACTCAGGGAAGCGAAGAAGTGCGACAATCGGTTGTAGAATATTTTTTGCCGGGCGTGCTATATAACGGAGTTATCTTTTATAGATTCTTGCCATTTTTATTTTCATTCCTCTCAGCATATTCGTTGAGCCTGAGTAGTGTTTGGCGCCCTTTGTCTTTGAAGCCTTCTTAGAAAACAATTCGGGTTAGTTTTCATCTGCAGCTTCGTGATTGCAGTTATTTTTTGGTCAAATTTACATCGAATTTGTTTTATTTTTAAATGCCGTCCTACTAGTTTAATTCATATTCTTTCTTTTTCGCGATTTTTCTAAAGCGACGTATGTCTGTTTTTTATACGTTTCGACCTTAACTGTACAAGATGTAGGTCGTTGCACGTTTTTGACGATTGAAGAACAGCACAGCACTCGCCAATGTCTTGCTCTTCCATCGGTCAAAAACGTCCAGAAACGTAAGAGCATTCGTCTAGTGGCAGCAGCGATTCTGCCCACCGTACAACGATGTGCGACTTATTTTAAAAAAAATGTTTTTATTTATTTGTGAATACTGTTAACCCCAGGAGCGGGGCTTTAACAGGTGTGGGGTACAGGAGAGCACTCAAACATACAATATCAGGACTGCAATACAGTACACATTAAGCGACGTCTACTTGTAATAAAAAGGCCGAAACAGCGCAAACATTCAACGTATTTTCTAGCACTAAACAAAACAAATTCTCAGCATTCAACATCTACTACATATCAAAAACATTAGAGCTACCTTTTATCAACCCAATTCACATATATTCGGAAGGGTGCTCTCAAATTCATCTAAACAGTTCGATGGCAGAATATTTTGTGGGAGATTATTCCAATCGATTACAGTTCTAGGGGGAAAAAAAGAAAACTTATAAGCGTCAAGATTACATTTGGTCACTTCAAACTGATTAGTGCTAACGTATCTGAGTTCTTTCAATGCGCCATGTGTTACTCTAGAATCCGGGTCAATATTGTGCAGGTGGTGAGAAAACATAAAGAACTACTTTAGTGGAGCAATTTTTCGACGAACGGGAAGTAAGGGGAGATTGAGGCTGTTCAGCATTTATGTGACAGCATGAAGTCGGCTGTATTTGGATAAAATAAATTGCACCGCCTTCCTCTGAACTTTTTAGAGTTCATCAATTTGATTTTTTATAGGGTTCCCATACCGATGCAGCGTACTCCAAGGTAGACCTAATATAGGCTGTGTAGGCAATTAACTTCACTTTAGGCCGAGCACTGTTCAGATTTCGTCTTAAAAACAAAAGCTTGTTCATTGCTTCGTCACACATTTCATTTATGTGCTTACTCCAACTTAGGTCATGCAAGTTTGTACAATTGGAAAAAAAATAAACGATGTGCACGCGACTGGGTCATATTATTCGTGTCTGTCCACTGTCTTCTTTTCCTTCTACTTAGTTTTACGCATCCTTCGCAGTCCTAGGTTTTAAGCATCATGTTTTATATATGACTTTTTTTTCTCTCTGAAAATGGCAATTTAGAGGGGGATGTGGCTTACGCAATGGCGCGACTTACAGGCCGATAAATACCAAACACAGAAATTGCCAAAAAAAAAAAAAAAGAAACGTCTCTAGGGCAAGTTGGTATGACAGCTTGAAATATAGGTTCAATCAGAATGTCATGGTCGATAATTGTTTGTATCATGAAGTACTTCCCCGTTTCTTGGGGTTCTATTGCTCGGGCAATTCAAGATTGGAATAAGCTACCAAACAATATTGTCATCTTCATACCTGTAAAAAATTTCATTTCTGCTGTGGAAATGTTACTTACCTGAATTTCCTCTTTTTCTGATTCTATATATGACTGTACATTTTGTCGTAGGGTGTACACACTCCTACTACGGCTCCTTGAGTGGGGCCGATAGTATTTCCAAGTAATTGAATACATTTTTAAAAACAAATGTCTCGATTTAAAGCATTGCCCCTCACGCGGTGTACCAAAGAGGATATAATATTCAAAGATAATTAGAAAACACAAGTATATCCCACTTCCCGAATCCAAATGAAAACACATATATGTTTGCAACACTTGTTTAGAGTTAAAACAAAAAGAAAAAAAATTGCATTAAGTCCTCGACCGTAAATCAATTAAACGGCTCGAAGAATAACAAAAACACACACTTACTGGATTTAAGAACCTAATTGAGAATACGTCGTATACTTTACAGAGATATTTTTTTTTTATTCGTGCAACAAGCACAGCCTGATGGTTTAGATTAGGTGCGCTATTTGTGCATCCCGTATAAAGCCAAAAAGGGCTCCGGCATGCGCGTTCACTCTGGTCCATTTGTAGTAGTCCTCGGGGGATGCTAGGTTGAGGTCTCGTGTCTGAGTCAGGGGAAGGAGGCGGTACTGAAGATTTGGGCAATTCCAGAGAATGTGTCGGAGGCTAAATGCGGACGGCCTGGCAAGAGGTAATTACGTGTGGCATTCTTCGCTGCCTTTTTACATTAGTAATATAAGATATGCCCAGCGATTTCTCAGAATACATTTATATCTAGGCAACTTTGTTTTGAAAGATACTTTCTTGATTTTCTAATTTGTTTTGACAATTATTCATTCTTGAAAAAATCGAGTGCGGCGCGGTATATTAAGACTGCAAGTATACTTACTGAGAAATGTCGAGAAGATAGCCACGAAAGCAAAGAAAGATGAACCCATCATGACCGTTCATTAAACGTTTTATCCCTCTGCTTGTCTCCAAGAATGCCTCTATATATATTTTAGATCTTATGCATTTTGTTTTATTCTGCACTCCACGTGGGAGCATCATGGATCTCAATATACTACAGCTGCTAGGCGTTTGCTACGTCGCTAACGCCATACGTTGAAGTAAAAACAAAAGTTAATAAAGCACGTGGAATTCGGTTGATAAATCAAAAAGGCTCGAAGGTCGTGGGGTCGAATTCTACACCCTTTTCCTTCGAGTTAGCTTTGTCTTGGGACCAAGCATGCCTTTGTTTTTCCAGCCAATAATGGCGGAGCTCTCTATGCAGAACACCCACCGCGGACCGTGGCTTTCAGAATAGCAAAGATCGTCCTAGGCGATTTTTTTTGCCGACGGCGGTATCCTCCGTTTCACATTAGGGAGTTTTAGGAAACCGTTTTTGCCCATCCGATGCAGTACGATAGGCCCTCCGGTACGAAGTGCCCGTATGTGAGTCTTCTGTGGTAGCGCATGCGCAGTTTGTACCGGAATGGGCCATTGCACCGTATCGGATGCGCTAAAACGATTCCCTCAAATTCCCTGCCTACAATACGATGGAGTCAGTCATGCTGCACTAAAGGTGCATCATCGCCCCGTGCAATGTCTGTGCATCTTTTATTACCAGCTAACCAATTTACGCGCGGAGATTGCGGCATGATCCAGCGATCTCTTTGTGCGTGAATGACCAAGCCGCGATAGGAAACGCACAAAAACGAGGAGCGCATGAGGACTCACTTTTGGCGCTGCTCGTTCGTCTCAATGGAAGTATAGCGTAAGCTGTGGTCGAAAGTAACGGGTTGAGTGCCGGGTCTTTTCTCCGCATTCAAAACGCAAAAGTTGGTGTCAATAATATTTGAGCAAGCTCTGTGAAGTATATTTTGTTTATAAAATACGCACGGTTCTATGGGCAAAAAGTTATTTGATGTCTGAATGTCTCCAACCTTTTACAAATTTCTTTTATCTTACTTTTCGATGCAAGGCTCTGTGCAGTGGTAACTTCACCCCGCACCCTGAGGTCACCATTTTGAACGTCCTTAGTCATTTGTTTATCCGAAACTGTAACGTCCTTGTTTTAGTCGTCAAATTCCGATTTGATAAGGAAATCAATTGCCTCAGAGTCGATGATCACTCAAACTTGTAAGAGGCAACACATCGAAAACAAACGCACAAGTACCCAAGCGTATCCCACGAAGAAAAACAACACAAAACAAACTTATTTAATTCAGAAATAGTATAGGCCATAATCAGTCACACACGCAGTGAAAGGCTGCATGTGCCATAATGTGCGATGTTGATCGACGTAGATTTACAATTTTGAAACAAGGAAGAAGCACACCTTAACAAAATACGCGTAGAAATACAGGCCAGGCAAAAGTAACACTATAAAATAAAACAGACTTTTTTATCATATGCTCAAGCAGGGCGCTTAACGTAGAAAAAAAAAAAAAAGACAGCTCAGTTTGGAGGGGCTGGGAGCAAACCGATACTGAAACATCACGGGGTATAGGGCTTTTTGTTTTAGTTTTTTTGCAGCTATCATCGGCGCAGTAAATATTTCGGCGACTACACCACCGACGCGTGCACCGAGGTGAATCTGCGTTTCTTCTAGCTTCTTCGACGTAGCGCCCTCTGGCATCGTTTCTCTTGCGAATAACGAGGTGTGTCATCACCTAAATGTGTTTCTCACACCGTGGCTCAAAAGCAGCAGGGTCGATTAGCATTCTAACTTGTGAGAAGCAGCACTTCGAAGACAAGCACACACGTGCCCAAGCGTATCCCACGAACAAATGCAACAAAAAAAAACCGTTCTTTAAGGATTGAGATATTGAACAGCCTACATTCATTTGCGCAGGAAGTGCAAGGCGGCACCAACACGTGACGGCAGAAACAATAAAATTGGTCGGTGCATAGGTGTACTATGCTGCGTAGATTTCCGTAAAACTAGGTGTGGGTTGAACAAGAAATGAGAGGGGGGGGGGAGTTAACGCTTCGCCGAGTCGCACTTTAGAGTCGCGTGAACTGCTCGTGCCGCAGAAGACGCGAGCTCGGCCTCTTGGTTGCTGTCCAGTGCGATGAGCGAAGAATGTGGAATCACGGCTGCCGGAGTGGCGTCTATCGCCGATTCAATCAGAGAGGAACGCGTCGCGTTGAAGCGAGCATAAACCATTATTGTTGGTTGTCTATGAGTTACGATATCAATTGTATAGGACAACCTTAAGTACGACGTATAAGACGACGTCGAGGACGACGTCCTAGGACCGACATCAAAGACGACGTCTAAAACGTCCTCTAGGGCGATCTTGAGGACGAACTCTAGGGTGACCTCTGGGACGTCTAAAACGACCTCTAAGGCGATCTTGAGGACGAACTCTAGGGTAACCTCTAGGACGACTTTAAGGACGACCTCTAGGACGACCTCAAGGAAGTCGTCAGAGACGACGTCTAGAACAACATCTACGAGGACCTCAAGAACTACATCTAGGACGAGGTCGAAAACAACGTCAAGTTTGTCAGGTCCTTCGAAGGTTGTGGGAATGTAAAGGAGTGTGAGAATGTGAGCTGATATGGTGTACTGCGGATACCTACTGCGTATTAGTAGGCCAGAAAGTCCAAGAACTTCGGGGAAGCGGTTGTAGCTAAACAGTGCTATACCATGAAAAGAACCCGCGTACGCACCGCGGGGTTCTCGGCAGCAGGCACTGCCTGCCGTCAGTGACCACGATGATAGAAATCGGTCGGTGCTCCGCTGTTATCTGTTTGATTTCCGCGACATCGATCTCTGAACTTGGCACCCACTTCCAAGCACGGGGAAAGACGTAATTCGACGTCAAAATATAGCCGCTAGGCTGCAACGAGTGAAAATGCATGGGTGCACAAATGAAAGACGGGTCCCACTTTAATGTTTTTAGGTAAATGAACCTCGCGCGAAGCAAGCAGTTTCTTCATTAGGCTCATCGCAAAAATTTTAAATCAGTTGATGTCGAGTATTTCTTTTTAATTAATTCAGTAATCGTGATTCAGAATGCACAAACATTAGTTTCTGTTCTCTGAAACCCCATCCGCTGTTTCCAGTGGATGGGGCACTACCTTCTCTGATTCCAACTTTAATTTTTTTAAATGATACATGACGGCCTCTTTGCACATACATACTAGAGAATTTCACAAATATAAAATATCTTCGATTACATATCATTTACGACAGATGGTCGAAGTCCTTATAAATATTGAATAAAGCATAGCTTGTTCACGTTTTATGAAAAAAATAAGGCCGAGGCTACATCCACGCGCGGGGACGTAGCCAAGTCGGGAGGAGACAAGGCTCCATCCACGCAAAAGGTCACGTGACTTATAATTTAAGGACATTTGTCTTTTATGCACATATTATGCTTCCTTATAAGTAAATATAGGATCTAAAAATAAAGAGGTTGCATATTTTTTTGTTTTAAAGTTAATATATCACGTGACCTTACAAATTCTTAGACAATTTATCAATGTTTCACTGTTTTCTAAGACTAACAGGAAATATCATACGTCATAAAAATAGTATCAATAGATATCTTTATATTTATGTTGTCCAGGAGTCACACACAGGTGCAGCGTGCGTGCCATCCGTGCGTGTGGGCGTGCAGCCTGCAGCCATGTGGTTTGGGCTTGGTTGGCTTGGCGCGGGTGCGGCCTCCGGGACTTTCGCCCATGTGCACATCGCTGCTGAGGCGAGGCGGCGAGGCTTCGCCGTGTATGTGATTGGTTTAATTGGTTTAAGTCGTTGTAGTGTGAGCTTATGTGCATCGAAGGGGGCAAGTGCGAGCACACCGCTTCGTATGTTCTTGACTTGGCGCGCACGCTGGCTATCTCACAAAGATTGTGCGAGAAGGGAAAGCATGCATTAGACTGAGTAATAACAAACCTATTCAATCGAGGAAACTCGGTAAAAGATTACAAACACAGATTATTCCATGACAAATAAAACAGTAGCCGATGCACAGATGCCACTCGTCCACGAGATCACCGATGAACACGAAGCCCTTCTTGTGGCAGAACTCCTGCAGGAGCCAGTTCACTTCTGTGTACCGATCATTCAACGCCTGGATCACTGCACTCTGCCTACGCTGACACTCCAACGAAGAGAACCTGTTCTCTCACCTCGGAAGAAAAGGCGATCTGCGTCGTCAAATTGCGTTCCAAGATCTGAGCGGCCAGCCGACGGTACTTGTCAACGTACGCGCTGGCACGAACGGTGGTATTGTTTGTGCCAAAAATCGAGCAGGGCGTCTGACACCTTGAGAAACAAAGCTTTGATCCTAATGTTACTAAACACCCGCACTTTGACAGCAACCTGGTTATTCGATGTGAAATACTGGGACAAGTATTTCACCATCGAATCCCCGGCATCCAAAACTGGAGGCATATCAGAAGCGCAACCGTGCGAATACACAAAGGGCCCAACTTCTTGACCACGAAAACAATAATAAAAAAAAAAAAAAAACATTTCAGTGAAATTCGTTTGGGGAAGACCAGGCAGGAACAGCAGTTCGCGCACGGCAGGAACGCAAGGAGCAGTGGCCACCGAACACATGGCAAAACAATGGGAGACAAGACCGTAGGTTGATTGCTGCGTGGACGGAGAGAAGGCGGAAGGAGAACTGCCTCCGTCCACGCAAAAAGTGACGTAGGGCGCCGGAAGTGACGTAGTGCGTGGATGGAGCCTTATCTCCTCCCGACGTGGCTACATCCTCGCGCGTGGATGTAGACACTCCCAAAAAATAAATATCTATGGGAGATGTAAACTCTTCAAGTTCAGCACCTTAATAATTTGTGACCGGCTTTGCTAATTTAACATATGGAAGAACGCAATTTCTAACAGTTTCCACGAAAGCATATATTTTTAAAACGAGAACCATCATTCTTGTATAGTTATTGTTGCTGTGGGGTTCACCTGCAGTAAGAACTTACC